GGTGATTTTAATGCCAAGATAGGACCAAGAAGATCAGCCGAAGAACTCTATATCAGGATCCATGGCCTAGAATGGAACGAACAGGGTGAGAGACTGTCTGAGTTCATTATGTCGACCAAGACCATCCATGGTAACTCACAATTCCAGAAGGCCGAATCAAAACTTTGGACATGGGAGTCTCCCGGTGGACAGTTCCACAATGAAATAGACCACATAATATTCAATCGATGGTTTTGCCTGACCAATGTCGCTGTTGTCCCAAAATTCCATACGGGATTGGACCACCGTCTCCTTCGTGCAAAATTCTACTTCACGGAGCGGGGAGAAAGGGCTGCAAAGTTTAAGAAGAGAGCTCCCAGAACGACCACCAACTGGGAGCTCTTTGGCACTATTGCAGAAACATTGGAAGATGCTGTCATTGACAACATTGACGAGGAATACGATTGACTGGTTCAGCACGCCAAGAGAGAGATAGCCACAAAAAAACTCCTTTGAAAACTCTTGAGTTTATTTGCCAACATGGTTTGGCGTATGCCTCAGACAACCCCAAGTGAACGTGCGAGCTCACAAAGCAGTGCAGAGATGCAGTCAAGGAAGACCGAAAATAGAGAAGAGCAGAAGTGCTGATAGATGTGGCAGAAGCTGGGAAAAGCGTTCATAACACCTGCCTGTCCTTTGTCAACTGCAAGACCAAGAAGATTGCCCTCCGACATCCTGATGGATCTATCACATCTTCCAGAAGGTCAATGGAGAAGATTATCCATGACTTCTACTCAGATCTGTTCGATAGCCATTTCCACCTGCCCACATACCAAATTCCATAGGATGGATATGTCATTACAAATGTTCTCCCTTCCGAAATCCAACACACCATTTCGTCCATATAGAAACGAACAGCACCCGGCCCAGACAAGGTCAGACCTGAACACCTGAAGAACCTGCCGTCAGTATTCATCAATATACTGGCTCAGCTCTTCACATGCTACCTGTCTGAACGCAAGGTTCCGTCCCAATGGAAAACCAGCAGGACTGTACTACTGTACAAGATGGGAGACATCCACAACATTGGCAACTATTGCCCGATCTGCCTATTGTCTGTCATCTACAAGCTGTTCACTCGAGTCATGCTGAAAAGGATTGGCAGAACACTAGATGAAGGACAACCATGCGATCAAGCTGGGTTCCAGAAAGGAATCAGCACAATCTACCATATCCACACTATAACCAAGATCACTGAGGTTTCTCAGGAATTCAAGATGCCGCTCTGTCAAAGGCTTGATTTAAAGAAGGCCTTTGATTCTGTTGAGATGGAAGCTGTCACTGAAGCCCTAGCCAATCAGGGCATTCAAACTCAATACAGCAGGATCCTCCCTGAGCTGTATTACGGATTCACTACCAGGATCTCACCATTCTACAAAGAAGTAATCATCGATGTCAAGAAAGGGGTTCGGAAGGGTGATACCATTTCATCAAAATTCTTCAGTGCCACCCTCGAGAACATCACGCGATGATGGAATGAGAAGAAATGGGAGTGAAGATAGGTAGTCGGCAACTACACCACCTCCGCTTTGCTGATGACATCGTTCTAATAACACCAAACATTAGCCAAGCAGCACAAATACTGGCCGACTTCTACTGTGAGTGTGGAAAAGTCGGACTACAGCTGAATCTTACAAAGACAATATTCATGAGAAACAGCCTCATTCCTGACACTCCATTCACTCTCAACGGATCGACCATCTCTGAATGCAACAGTTATGTGTACCTAGGTTGAGAAATCAACATGATGAATGACCTGGCACCTGTGACGCACAGGAGGAAGAGAGTGGCTTGGAACGCCTTCAAGAGCATCGAAGAAATAGCTAAGAGGACAAAGAACCTCTGGCTCCGGGCACATCTCTTGGATTCCACTGTTCTTCCTGCTTTAACATACGCCTCAGAGACCTGGGCCCTACACAATCAGGATGAGAATGCTATTTGGGTCTCCCAAAGAGGAATTGAAAAAGCTATCCTTGGAGTATCACATTTCACTCAAATGAGAGAAGGAATCCGGAGTTCCGACCTCTGTCGACGATCAAGAATCAGGGATGCTGTCTCATTTGCCAAGGCGTCAAAAATCAGATGGGCTGGACATGTAATGAGATTTGGAGATGATTGCTGGACTAGAGCCATTACCAAGTGGATTCCACGGAACATCAAAAGACCACATGGCCACCTATCTACCAGATGGTCGGACTTCTTCATCAAGGTCAAGAACGATCGGCTTGAGGCTCTTCGCATTCCTAGAACGAAAAGACACCATTGGGCTACACTAGCACATGACAGGGACAAATGGAGATGTTACTGGCACCTACTCGAGAAAATCAACGATTAACGGCAAGTCAAGTGATCAAAGGATCAACTAACAACAAGTCTCTCAATGGAGATGTTACTGGGCCCGCTCGAGTCAATTGATGAACAACAGGAGGACAGTGCTACAGTGCTACCTTCTTAATAAAATAGGATGCAAATATATGAGCATTAATGGGAGCATAAGTTTAAGCTACTTTTTGTTTTATTTTGCAATTAATATCTATTTATTTTATTTTGTTTTATATTTTTTTTTATTTACATGGCTTACTCCTGGCTTTGCACATAGAGATCACTTCTGACAATTTGGCACATTTTGGATACCAGGGACCAAACTTATATCAAAGGCATACAAGGCAAGCACCCTGCCTGTTATAGTATCTCTCTGACCCTAACTTAAGTTTTTAACTTTGACTGTGGAAACTGTCAAGATTTATATTCATAAGGCTGTCTAGATCACATTTGGTTTGAAATATGTACACACATATATGTGTATATATGTTGCTATATACACATATATATGTTGCTATATACACATATATGGGGATGTACACATGTAAGTTCACTTATACATATATATCTTTCTGCTTAGAAATATATAGCAGGAACTAGAAGTTTTATCACTGTAGGATCAAACAGTCCTCATCGACTGCAATTTTCTTAGAAATCCAGGCAGCACAGGTCAGTAGCAAGAAGATGAGTTCTATATCAGCTCTGTCTGAAGGAAGCTAGGTCCACAAACGCCTCTGCACCTGGCTGATATACTTTGAAATGATTCTGTTGTGAGTGCTTTCAATGTCTGTAATGAGGACAAGCCCATATCTCAAGAGTAGTCACAGCCAGGAAAGCCCAGAGCTAATGGCTGCCTCCCAGGTTTTTATAGTGTTCCATTGCAAATGTAATTTGTCCAAAATAGTCATTTTACAAACAAGCAAGCAAAGAAACAAAATCTAGCAAGATATCTTATATTCCAACTTTCATCAGATTGCCAGGGTAACTGACTTGAGTCAAATACTTGACAAATATTCCAAGCATTGCTAACATTCTGCTTGTAAATGGAATATGAACTTGATGTTAATATCAATGTGTATATATGTGTGTGTGTGTGTGTGTGTGTGTGTGTGTGTGGTGTGTGTGAAAAACAATCTCATGAGGGTTAAGAAAGATAGCTAAAGAAGAATTAAATAATAAGACCTTTTAAAGAGAGAAGTTACAGATGTGATATATGGTTATCAAATTTCCTGTTTTTTTTTAATAGGTAAAGTCAGAAAAGTGTAGATTGGATCATCACAGATGAAGTTTTGTATAGTAGTAAGCTAATGCTCGGTGGCATAATACTACATGTCATTGTCATTTAAGTAAAAATGACATTTTGTTCCATTTTGCCGAAGAAAAATAGGGCTGATTCACATAGGCCCCTTTACCACCTCTCAAATGTGTCTACTTCTCAGGCGTTTCAACTCAGACACATTGACTTTGATGCTCTGAGCTCTAATTGCCTCTTAGGAATGCAATTTTCATACACATGCCAGCGAAATTAAGATTGAATGTGAGTAGGTACATTAAAGTGGACCTGCCTCTCTGTATGGTTGATTGCTAAAGTCAAAGATGGCACCTGAATGATTAGATAGAATTGTCTGTGTGTTCTCACAATAGAACAGATGGCTCCATCATGAAGACAAGCTGCCTCTGTTTTATAAACATGCACTATTAGTTATTGTGAATAAACAGGAGTCAACTCAAGGCCATTTAATTCAAGAAAAAAATTCTTAAATGCATATTTCCTAATCTTTTCAATCATGTATGGTCTCCACAACTTAGAATACAATGATTCTTTATTCAAATAAGAGAGCACAAGAAATCTGAGCACTTATAGAAATTGAAGGTCCTCACAACAGAATCCCTTCAAAATATATCAACCTGGTGCAGAGGCCTTTGTTTACCTAGCTTCTCTCAGACATAACTGATGTTGATAAGTGTGCAATTAATATCTATTCAGAGAATATGTCTATAACATAAATATCTATTTATGTTTTTAGAACTCCTGATTCATTTAAGAGACTCAATGAATTTAATATTACATATAGTTTAATATTACATTTTACACACATATGTAATATGAAATAACTAAAAATTCACATATAAGAATAAACATCCAATACAATTATAACTGACAAATAAAGTTTCAGAATACATTAAAATGGTAAAGCACATAGTAAATTGTGTTTTTCATCAAAAACATTAAGTTACCATGCTTAGCAAGTAAGGCATGTTTATTTAAATCACTAGGCAGAATGGAAATTAACATATGTTCAGATCTTGGTCTCTCATTTTCTAAATTAAAACAAATCTGGAATGAGCAAAATGCACAATATGGTAAAGTTAGTTTCAGCTAATTTTGCTTAATCCCCTTTATTTTCTATTTCCCACGAATGGCTTAACAGCTCTTGCAAAATAATAGGCAATGCAAATGTTAGCTTTGAGTCTAACTGCCTTTACAAATCGTAAATGTTGATATATTTTCAATGAAATTGCAATTGCACCTCCAAGTAGAAATAAAACTGTCCGTGCTTATTTCACTCAAGAGTGTAGAAGACAAAGTTCATAATGACCTGAGCATTGATGATTAGAATAACAATGCTCTTTTTCAGTTTTTGCCAGCAAGAGAAGCTGCCAATGACCTTCCAGTCCTGTGTGATCACCAAAGAGTGCCAAGTGTCGGAGTGGTCAGAATGGAGCCCCTGCTCTAACTCCTGTCGTGATGTGGCATCCCCTGGAGGTATCCGTAGAAGGACAAGGACTATCAAACAATTTCCTATCGGGAGTGAGAAGAAGTGTCCAGATCTTGAGGAAACTGAGCTCTGTGCATCTCAAGGAGAGGAAGTTACCCCCTGTGCCACGTAAGTCTGTAGATACTTCCCCTGCATGTCTGCCCAGGTTCTGTGTTCATGAAGCTATTTCATAGTGACTGAATCCTACTTGGATAGATAGTGGTTTTTAGCAATTTGAAGTGGGGAACAATAAAATATCTTTTTATAAACACAGTCCTAATAAGACAAGAGTCTCATAGAATGTAAATCTCCATGTAGACTAGATCTTTAGCAGCTTTCTGTGTATTTTTTATTGAAAATTTTCTATAGTTGTTGGCAAATTATCTCTAAAGAGGAAAATAATAAATGTATTACACTTTATGGGCCACATATGTCTTTGTCACAATGACTTGAGTCTGCCATTGGATCTATAAACAATATGTAAACAAATAAGGCTGGCTCTGCTCCAGTGAAACTGCGGTTACAAAGACAGTGTCAGGTTGAATCTGGTCCTTAGGCCGTATTTTTGTCAATCCATATTCTATAAGATGAAATAAATTTCCAGAATGCAGGTTTCTATTAAGTAAAGCTGCTTGGTGAGCAATTCTTATTAAAATTCAGTACTATATGTAACAAGTCCTACTCAGCTGAGTAAGATACATCAAAATAACATGATGTAAAACTCCTTGAGGTCAAGAATTACATTTACTTGTCTTAATTTTGTTTTCTCTTTGAATCAATGCTATATATCATAAGATTCAGCACACTATATGTGCCCCATAAATGTTCCTACAATTTAATTGAAATAAAACTAGTATTTGGCATTATAAAAGCATTTTTGCCTTCAAAAATATCATTTACCAGACATTACTTTGAATTATATTGGCAATAAATATGTTTTAACTTAGTCTGAAATTTATAATGTAATTGAGAGACTATTAGAATCTCAATGGTTATGCATTGGCTTCATTGAGAACTTCTTTAGAATATTCTATACATTTAAAGTATTTTCAGCAATTCATACTTCATGAACCAACAAGAAAGAAAATTTCTACTGCTACTAACATTTCTAATACAGCTACCAAAACTAACACTAATACTGAAGATGTGCACCTGACCTTCAACATTGCAGCACATTGGAATCCTGTTCTCCTATGATGAAACAAGTGACTACTCCAAAGAGAACTTTATTACAAATTTTTCTGCCTCCCACACTGATTGTAGGCTTCTCTCTACATCTTAAGCTAGAGGAAACTCCCAGATTTCCAACATATGGGTCACCTTTAAGTTTCTGCTACTATGTTGTGTCTCAAATAGGTGTTTTCTTCTTCATCCTTCTAAGTAATTCAAATACAGTTAATAAAAAATAAAATTTTAATTTTATCTCTCCTAACAAACAATATTCATTTCTTTCTTTCTTCCTTTCTTTCCTTTTGTAGAGAAGGTTGGTGTGTGGGTGATGGGTTAGGGTTGTAGCTGACAGTGCTCTAGGGTTATTATGGCTAAATGCTTGGGGTTCATTTTCAGTTATATGTGGGGGAAGGGGAATACATGAAGTAGTACAAAATTGAACCCTGCCTCCTTTCTTAAAAATATATATCATTAGCCCTTTGAGCCATCTCCCTGGACCATGTTCCTAACCTGTGTTTTAGGTACTTGTTCTTGGCCTTCCAAACTGTTCTATAAGGCCCCAGGGCCACTCTGTAACTCATGGTGCAATTGATTGTTTATATTGAAGACTAGGGCTCAACTGCACAGGTTCTACAATGTCAAGGATGACCTGGTGGTATTCAGAATGTACAGGCCTATACCTAGGGACAAAGTAGGGGGTCATGTGGTGTGTGGATTTTATCTGGGTCTGGTGCAAACAGGTGTCTAACCCCAGTGCTACTTCCTGGTCTACCTATTTTGACTGTATTCAGTTTTCCTCACTCCATTCAAGACATCCATTATGTATGATTTGACACTGGCCTAAGTGCTTCACATCCTTTATAAACAAATATCAGGAGTGTTGTTCCTTGATGCTCTAAATCCTGCCCCTTTGTCAAGCTACCAATCTCCACTTATAAAAATGAACAATGGACATAAAGGTCAGCTTTACTATCGTGAAACTTCCCCATTGACAAAGCAAAGCATATAGATCAGTCATCCACCCTTTTTGTCTAATTGAGGTGAACATTAGAACATCCATTTGCACCTATGATGGCTGTTAATCTGATTAGTCCAGTTAGGATCTTGGTGAAAATGACACATAGTGCTACATGAGCCATTTTCTTTGTGCTTTTAGAATATCAATTTTCCTTGAGGTTGAGAAATGCCATCACTTTTTATCTTCAGTGGCATGGGGGAATGCTTCCCCAGCTACCTTCTTAAAGAAAGGCTGGGCTGACAATCCCTCGGCATTTGTTTCACATCATAATCTTGATTGGAGCTTTAATTTAGAATCATAGTTCATTTTTCCTGTACTCCACTGATTAGAAATGTCAGCTCTTTTCATCATTTACTAGCTCTCTCAGGAATTCTCATGGCTGAATGGGAAAAAAAATCTTATTTTTGACAATAAAGAGAAAGCTCTAACTTACAAAAAAAAAAGCTTAGTCCTACAATTATTATATACTTATCATTTTGATACATTGTGAGTATGCAGATCTGGATAGAGAATACAGCAAGTAAGGTATTTTCCTTGCTCATGGCTGACTCCATTTCAATCCCCAGAACCCCATATGATACTCTTAATTAATATTATCAGGAGTGATCCCTGAGTACAGAGCCAGGAGTAAGTTCTAGATGTGCGTCCCCCACGACCCCCCCCAAAAAATCAGCAAACAATTTTCATGAATTTTATTAAACGCAAAATAAATGTTTGGCTTCACAATCATTTACAATGTTTTTCACTTTCAAAATCAGTCCTCTTTTGTTTATAAGCTTCAAGAAAGGGCAAGCCTGAGTTCAATTTAATTGAACATAAAATTTCATGTTTTCAGCATTATGTTCTCCTTTCATAAAATATTTATAAGTAACTTCCAGTAGTTGCAATTAAAAGCAGATCATCCTAATTTAACCCCTTTTTAAATGGAACATTGCTGAGGATGAAGAAGGAGTGTATACTGAATCTATACTACAATGTATTCTAAGATTCGTGCAAAAGAAAATGTTATTTTAAATTAACGTTCATTTAAAAGTATTAAGAGCATTGAAAAAAGTTTTGTTCAGCAAACATGACTCACCTCGGTAAACTCTGGGCACTTTCCTTTTTAGATATGGCTGGAAAACTGCAGAATGGACTGAGTGCAGAGTAGATCCTTTGCTCAGTCAGCAAGACAAAAGGCGAGGTAACCAGACAGCACTCTGTGGAGGAGGCATCCAGACCCGAGAGGTGTACTGTGTGCAGACCAATGACAACCTCGTCTCACACTTGAGCTCCCAAAACGATAAAGAAGGTAAACTTTGCTTTATTCTTACTCACACTTGGGTACCAGAGAGAGTATAAGAGGTAATATGTTCGTCTTACATGCAGATGACCTGGTTTGATCCCTGGTATTGCCTTTGAGTAACCTTGGGAGGTAATCCACCTTCCCACAAAAACACAAAATAAAACAAAACCCCATAAACAAAAGACTCTCACATGTAGTCTTAGCATGGAATGAACCTATATATAAAACCATATATATATGTGTATTATAGGTTATATATAATATATATTATGTGTGTACATATATGTGTATGTGTATGTATAATCTATAATTAACCCAGGTTCATTCCATAATGAGATCTATATACTAATTATATACTATATATAATAGTTAATCGTGAGATTTGTTACTGTGTTTGGTATATTGAATACATCCCGGGTAGCTTGCCAGGCTTTGCCGTGAGGGCAAGATACTCTCGGTAGCTTGCTGGGCTCTCCGAGAGGGGCGGAGCGGAGGAATTGAACTCCGGTTGGCCATGTTGGCTGCGTGCAAGGCAAATGCCTTATCCACTGTGCTATTGTTCCAGTTGTTATATAATAGTTATTAGTTATATGTATTATATGTATATGCAGTAACCATGTATATAATATATATAATAATTTTTTCTTTTTAAAATTTATTTTCCAATCAACATATTTAAAAAAGACTAAAGCATCATGATTTCCAAAGTAATTCATAGTTGAGCTTTAGACATACAACATTACAGCACCAATTGCACCACTAGTGCCAAGTCCTCCCACCAACTTTCTCAGGTTCCTGCCCATATCCCCTATCTATCTCCAATCCTGCCATGTGGATAAGCAGCTTTCTAACTTTGGCTGTTAAAGTATGGGTCTCTTGATTTTAGTGTTGTTGACACTGTGGTTTAGATATTAGGCTCTATCTATCCTTAATAACACCTTTGTACCTAAATCCCCAGACCTGGCCTCCCCATTTCTTCTCTTTTCTTTTTAACTTTTTACTGGTAAATTACCGTGAGGTACAGTTACAAACTTAGAAACTTCCGTGCTTGTGTTTCAGTCATACAATGCTTGAGCACCCATCCCTCCACCAATGCCCATTCTCCACCATTTATGATCCCAGTGTCTCTCCCATCCCTCAACCCCACTGCCCCCGTCCCACCCCACCTCTGTGGCAGGGATTTCCCTTTTGTTCTCTCTGGATATTCTGGATTTGTTCTCTTTGGGTGTTGTTGTTTGCAATAGAGATATTGAGTGGCCATCATGTTTGATCTATAGTCTACTTTCAGTGCACATCTCCCATCCCAAGCAGGTCCTCCAACCACATTTTACCTGGTGTTCCCTTCTCTATCTGATCTGCCTTTTCCCTCAGCATGTGAGGCCAGCTTCCAAGCTGTGGAGCAAATTTTCTGGTACTTATCTCTGTTATTCCTGGGTGCTAGTCTCCCATTCTGTTACTTTATATTCCACAGATGAGTGCAATCTTTCTATGTCTGTCTCTCTTTATTTGATTCATTTCACTTAGCATAATACTTTCCATGTAGTACTACTTGTATGTAAATTTCATGACTTCATCTTTTCTAACAGCTGCATAGTATTCCATTGTGTAGATGTACAAAAGTTTCTTTAACCAGTCATCTGTTCTTGGGTTTCTTCCAGATTCTGGCTATTGTAAATAGTGCTGCAATGAACATACAAGTGCAGATGTCATTTTGATTATACATTTTTGCCTCTCAGGGATATATACCAGGAGTGGTATTGCTGAGTCAAATGGGAGCTCAATTTCTAATTTTTTAAGAATTGCCCACACTGTTTTCCAAAAGAGCTCAACCAGTTGGCATTCCCACCAGTAGTGTAGGAGGATCCCTTTCTCCCCACATCCATGCCAACACTGGTTGCTTTTCTTCATTTGGATGTGTGCCAGTCTCTGTGGTTTGAGGTGTTATCTCATAGTTTTTTTGATCTGCACCTCCCTGATGTTTAATGATGATGAGCATTTTTTTCACGTGCCTTTTTTCCAATTTGTATTTCTTCCTTGAGAAAGTTTCTGTTCATTTCATTGCTACATTTTTTGATGGGGTTGGATGTTTTCTTCTTGTAAAGTTCAACCAGTGCCTTGTAAAGGTAAAGGTAAAGGTAAAGGCCCTCCCGTTGATCGTCGATTTGCTCGAGCGGGCCCAGTAACGTCTCCATTGGAGACTTTGTTGTTACTGTGTCTGGCATATAGAATACTCTCGGTAGCTTGCCGGGCTCTCCGAGAGGGGCGGAGGAATCGAACTCGGGTCGGCCATGTTGGCCGCGTGTAAGGCGAACGCCCTACCCGCTGTGCTATCGCTCCAGTGCCTTGTATATCCTTGATATCAACACCTTATCAGATGGGTATTGGGTGAATTTCCTTTCCCATTCTGTAGATTGTCTTTGTATTTTGGTCACTGTATCTTTTGCGGTGCAGAAGCTTCATAGTTTAATATAATTCCATTTGTTTATCTCTTTTTCCCCTTGGTTGGTCAGTTGCAAGTCATCTTTGAAGATACCGTTGTTAGGGAGCATAATGTACCATTTTTTTTGGGGGGGGTTGTTTTTGAGACATCGCAATGTTCAGGGCTTACTCCTGGCTCTGTACTCAGGAATCACTCCTAGTCCTGCTCAGAGGACCATATGGGATACCAGGGATTGAACCTGGGTCGGTTTCCTGCAAAGCAAGCACCCTATCCACTGTACTTTCACTCCAGCCCTGATATCTTTTACATTATACTTGGTATCTACTATGATGAGTAGTAATTCAGATTATAGCTGTAAAAGTCAGCACTGTCAGCAATGTCCTCCCGTTGTTTATCAATTTGTTTGAGCAGGCACCAGTAATGTCTCCATTGTGAGACTTGTTACTGTTTTTGGCATATCGAATACACCTCAGGGAGCTTGCCAGGCTCTGCCGTTTGGGTGAAATACTCTCGGTAGCTTGCCGAGCTCTCCAAGAGGATTGGAGGAATTGAACTCGGGTCGACTGTGTGCAAGGCAAACACCCTATTTGCTGTACTTTGACTCCAGGCATCTTTAATCATTCTTGATGTATAGACAAATTTATCTTGAAGTTTTCTGAATTCCAACTCAGAGTCATTTTAGCAAGAGAAATAATTGTAAAAATAGAATAAACATTTATGTGATTGCCATGTACATGAACTCTATGATTATATTATAAATTCCAAATTTATTTTCTTTATTTAAGTAAAGTCAACCTGTGGAAAGCTCTTATTTTGCTCTTTGAAATGTAGTTGGAAAAAATTAAAAATACAGCTTGTGAGATAACACAGCAGATAGGGAACCTACCATACACATAACCCGTGTTGGTTCCATCTTTGACACCCTGTGTGGTTTCAGGATCTCAACTAGGAGTTGTCCCTGATAAATACTGACAGAAGTAAGCTCTGTGTATTGTAAGTTATGGCCCCAAACATAAACAAATAAAAAAAGAAGCAAGCAAAAATGTTAAAAGATATTGGATTAAATTTTTAAAATTTAAATGAAATATACACATAATAAATACAACATGTATTATAGTGAATAAACCTTTTACTCAGAAGCACAATGTTTTTAAACCTTCTAGTATACACTTTTACTCACCATATTTAGAGCGTTTTACTTATTTTGAGTTTGGGGTCAGATGTGATAAGTGTAGGAAAAGGATAAGTGAATAGAATATGTCCAGGTCCAGAGCATATTCATCTGTGATTTTTTATTATATATTAAAAGTTCTCCAAAATTTTGCTCTTATTGGATAAATCTTATATTAATTTAGTGCTCTTCTACATGATTATGAATATTTTTAAAATAATGTCATAAATAGATCCTTTCATACTCTCTCTGAGACAGAAAGAGTACAATATCTATCACTAAACTGTTCAGTATTCGTTAATTACTTGACAAGAAAGTTTTTAAAATTGAGTACTGTAGTAAGATAATACCATATGACATACATTATTACTGACTTTTACAATACCCTGTAAGAGGATCATTGAAATATGAATATTCATAAGGGAGGTGACATTTGAGCTGGGTGATGATGATGCATATGCTTGATCTGGTTAAGTGGGCTAAGAATGCAAGAGGGAGTTTATTCCAAGAAGAGAAAGTAGAATGTATTGAAGTGTACCAAAAATAATAATTAAAAAAAAAAACAGAAGAGAATTTTCGCACACACAGAGGAGCAGATTACATTTGCCAAGTTATAGATAGGATTGAGTCAAATCAATCTGATTGAATCAGATCTTACAGGATAGACTAGTATAGAATTTCCTAGCAAATATATTGATCACAAAGTGAGAAAAAAAATAGGCACAAAGACTTTGGTTGACTCCAAATAAATAGCATTTAAAAAGGAGAATATTCAATGAAGAAATGTGAGCAATAATGACCAGAGAAGAAGGGGGAAGAATTAATAAAAATTGTTTATTAAAAAGAAAAAAGGTGATTTCACTATATCTCCCACATCCACAAAGCAATAGTACTAGCATCTAGGAATTCATAGAAAATAAGAGCTGAAGTTTTGCTCTTGCAACTTCAAAAATTTAATTGTTCTGTATCCACTAACTTTACACAGCATGTCAACTCATTTAGAAATCTAGCCTAGGGATACATTTTACTACTAATGTATCTTGAGGTTGTAAGAAGTAGCATAAAACATGTAATGTTAGTACATTAATATTTTCTTGGCCACTTTAATGACTACATTTTTAACACTCTAAGGTGGATTTATTATAGCAGCCTTTTCAGAGTAATATAATTTCACTGCCAGAGGTATATCAGATTTTAGTTTCTGAATGTCAATTATATCCTGTAGGTTATTATTTTGCAAAGATCCTTCTGAATTCTGAATTGAACTGGATTTTGGTATAATTTTTCAGAGTCCCCTACCTTGTCAAAATACTGCAGAAGCCCCATAAAAAATCATCTAGATAGAAAAAAATTCATTATTAGCATGCATATGTTGAACTAAATCAAATTTCAAAA